TGGATGGCAAGGGAGGGGAAGATGGATGGAGTGAGGGGGAGGGGGGAGGAATTGGAGGGAGCGGGGAAGGGGAGGGGGGGTGGAGATAGGTAATGTGTGAGATGGTATAGATGACCGGTGACACAAGGCAGGAGATAGTTATACATATACTATATCACTGTGGTGTGGGGGGATAAGTCACAGAGTTTTACAGTAGTACCTGTGTTAACTCTTTTCAGTTAAACTAGGAGATTTATGGCACTTGCAACACAATAAGGTCATATAAGTGCCGAAGGTTAGAGGTGTTACAAGAGAGTAACAAACACAAAAAAAGAAGGAGGGGAGATAAGGACAATAGATGTTTGATAGTAAAGAGGAAGCAAGCCACACCAGAGCACCCGCACACCACCCACCGACTACAACTACATCTAATACCACAATGTCACGTTATAATACAATTGCCAGAGTCATCATTATTTTCTCAGATCTCATATTACTGGTCAAGAAAAAATGTCTGTCGCTTCTGTTGCTGTGAGTTACGACTAAGCTTACGACCAGACTTGCGCCCATCCCACACTAAGCCTACGACCAGACCTACACCTATTCCACACACACAGAGACAACCAAGCCTACGACCAGACTTACGCCCATCCCACACATAGTTACGACTAAACCTACGACCAGACTTACGCCCATCCCACACAGTGAGTTACGACTAAGCCTACGACCAGACTTACGCCCATCCCACACAGTAAGATACGACTAAGCCTACGACCAGAGTTACGCCCATCCCACACAGTAAGATACGACTAAGTCTACGACCACACTTACGCCCATCCCACACAGTAAGATACGACTAAGCCTACGACCAGACTTACGCCCATCCCACACATAGATACGACTAAGCCTACGACCAGAATTACGCCCATCCCACACAGTGAGTTACGACTACGCCTACGACCAGACTTACGCCCATCCCACACAGTGAGTTACGACTAAGCCTACGACCAGACTTACGCCCATCCCACACATAGATACGACTAAGCCTACGACCAGAATTACGCCCATCCCACACAGTGAGTTACGACTACGCCTACGACCAGACTTACGCCCATCCCACACAGTGAGTTACGACTAAGCCTACGACCAGACTTACGCCCATCCCACACAGATACGACTAAGCCTACGACCAGACTTACGCCCATCCCACACAGTGAGTTACGACTACACCTACGACCAGACGCCCATCCCACACAGTGAGTTACGACTACACCTACGACCAGACTTACGCCCATCCCACACAGTGAGTTACGACTACACCTATGACCAGACTTACGCCCATCCCACACAGTGAGTTACGACTACACCTACGACCAGACTTACGTCCATCCCACACAGTGAGTTACGACTACACCTACGACCAGACTTACGCCCATCCCACACAGTGGGTTACGACTACACCTACGACCAGACTTACGCCCATCCCACACAGTGAGTTACCACTACACCTACGACCAGACGCCCATCCCACACAGTGAGTTACGACTACACCTACGACCAGACTT